AGGCCTGTGTTCGTCTCGGTCATCTTCGGAGTCATTTTCACCCGCCGTGTCGTCGTTAGTGTCGTCGTCTGTTGTAGTTTCGTCCTCGGATGGATTTACAGCGAATGCTTGTCGAGAGAGGCGTCTCCCGTGCCGGGTGGCAGCGACAGCGGATTCTGAGCCCGAGGAACCCGTTGGAGTCCGCTGGCCGGATGCTTGGGATAAATGGGTGAAAGAAGCTATAGTCAATTTTAGACAGGAATGTAACATAATTAAAGAGATTTGCTGGCCTGTGAGATCTCCATAGCACTCTAACTCCCGCACCAAGTCTCGGGCGGCAGTCTTATCGGAGTACTTTGCTAACACCTAATAGATAATTAGTATCGAAGACATCATTGATATAAGTAATAGACCATACTTTGAGAAGCGTTTCGACATACAGCAGTTTCGCCTCATGGGGTGTTACGTCTTTGTGCTTTGCCCAAGCATCCCTATAAGGCTTAGTTGAGCTTGCAATGAGTCATCCTTTATTCAAGCAACATACCACTTCGCTCTCCCCAACATATCCCACATCCCAGGCCGTGGTGTCTTTACATTCCCCACAGTCGCTACGATGTTCCTACATTAAATGGCTACACCTCAGCATAAAGCGTACACACCTTGCTTATACAGACTACAACCATCACAAATCGCCATTAATATGCTTAGAAGATCCCGAGAACAAAAGAAGAACGCGTGCATACCTGTACATTGCGAGTTTTTCCTCATATCCAGTCTGGATTGGACCTGTCTTGGGCAGACTCTGCACGATAGACACAGCCTTTTCGAACTGAGCATCGATTAGTGAATGGGGGTCCATTGTATAGCCGTTTGTTACTAGACAGGTCGCTGGATAGGTAGGTATAATAGAAACACGGACGCGTGGCGAATTAGGTCACCCGGCGAGGTTGGCAAGCCTGGCGAAATCACGCTCTTGTGCACATTGTCCGCCCACTGGCGCCCACCGAATTCAACCGCCTGTGAGATCGAAAGAATCCCGCATTATGCAGAAGTCGAATATCTAGTCAAGAGAAAAATGTAACAGGAGCAGACAATATCATACACACGACCATAAAAAGGCAATGAAGGTCAGGAAAGAAGCGAAAAAGACACAACCGGGGTTCAAACCCGGGACAACACGATTTGCAATCGTGGATTCTATCAGTAGTACCACTGAACTATCGCGCCGGTCCGAGTCACCACTCGATTTATTGCATTCTTTCATGTAGGGGATGTCTTGAACGAGGGCCAAAGCAGGGTTGAGGTAGACGACTTTGAGGCTTGAGCAGGGCTTGAAATTGAAATTGTAACACGCAAGACTGTACCTGCAGGGTAGCAGTTGCATACCCTGTAAAGCTAGTAGTACTGTAAGTACTGGCAAAATTGGTTTGTGATGTTTGTGATTCAAATTTATCCACTGGAGTGAAATCACTGGAGTTGGGTATAGAGTCTGGACGCGTACAACGATCGTGATAGGTATAACATACACAGGGAGAATTGAGGAAGACTCTGGACTCCATGCTATTGCTGCAAGTACATGTTCGAGGTCCTGTCAAGTACTAGAAGAAAAGAATGAAATCGTTCAACTGTGAACACCCTCGATCTTTCATCAAAAACAAAACAAAACAAAAACTGAAGTAAAGAGAACCTTTTGAGGAGGAAGAAACGGGGAGATAAGCCCACGAGCACTTTAATCGACATGCATACAAGTAGTGTTGCCTGAGGCTGGCTATGGTTGACTAGCCGAGCTGGTGGATCGGCTTGAGCTTAAAATAGAATAGTAGTTCGAAAAAGCCAAGCCACTTAGAACCAGCTCGCTTGGCTGTGAAGCCGGCTGGCAGCCGGCTAGCTGTCAATATCCAAATATATTAAAGATTAAACAACTCTCCCACGGAGTCCACCACCATATAAGGAAAACACAACTTTCATCTCTCTTCCACCTTCACCCCATAGCGCTTCAATTTTACATCTCAAAATAATCTCATTAAGTACTAACGTACTTCACCCAGAAGCCGGACAGGTTTTATAAAAGATTTTTATTTCTTTGATTGTTGTATTTATTGCGAAGCTGGTGCATTAGAATTATAGTTTACTTTCATATCCTTTTCACAAAAAAAAAATCCCAGCAGTGCCTCTTTGTTCACTAGAAATAACTTTGGTTAAATACAAGGGGCTGCTCACAGCCCTTCAAAACCTGGCACCTAGTAACCGGACAGATAGGTTTTTTAATTTTAAGAATGGACAAAATCACTTTTGGCTCAATAATGTTGAAAGTAATGCTTGAAATATTGTTAGGATATTGGGTTGTCTAGTGGCTTGACCTGCATGAGAAGG